TTTCTATGTGATTTTATTATAATCATTCCTTTAAATCAAGCCATGCAACAAGTTTTCACCCCATATTTAATAAAACCAAAAAAATATTTTTTAAACTTTTTTATGCTAGACACAATCCTATGAATGTATACAATATATATCTGAAAAAAATATAGCTAAAGTATAAGAACAATAAAGAGATACTAGCTAATAGGGTAGTTTATCTATATAAATATAATATCTATTATCTTTATCATATCAAAAGTATCTTGACCAGTTTATCAGAGTGCAAAATAAAAAGGAAATATTTAGTCAATTAATAGATGAAGTTGCAGAGTTTAATTCTAATAAAAAAGGTAGTGCTTTGATACAACCATATATAGCACCAATGGATACTAATTTTGGGCAGCCATTTATTTTAGTTATTGTAACAAATCTGATGAAGTATTGTTATCTTTTGCTACAAGCTAGAGAATTAGTCTATATAGAAACTACAGCTGGTCTTAATGCCTTTAATACCCTAGTAACGATCCTCTCAACAAGTACACCTATTGGTGAATTACCTCTTGCTATTATACTTACATTAGATAAACTGACAAGTACTTTTATAAAAGCACTAAATATGCTAAAAAATATATTACTATTGATAGCATTTAATAGATGTGGACCTGTAGTTGGTTTACAAATTTTTATACCAAATAATTGCAAAGCAGAAAGAACTGCATTAAATAATACTTGAGATAAATTAGTACTGTTTTCACTTCTTACAAGCAGCATGAAAATGGTTATGGAATGGCAAACATTGTATTGACAAAGAAGATTATATTGTTCTTATAGAGCATTTGAAAAAAATTGTCTTTACAAAAAATGAAACTATACTTGAAGAAGCATATACCACATTAATATCAAATCAAATATATTTAAAATATCTTTATTTTCAAAAATATTTTAAAGCACTATGTAACTGATATAATGAATAAGCTATTGCATTCTGTTAGAAATTATTAATTTGTAATAATCATACAAATAATTTTTCAGAAGCTAGAATTTTGAGTAATAAAAAATATTATATTTGAGAGAATTTAGGCATATAATATAGTTCAAATTTTTATTTTATTATTAAGATAATGGATCTCTACTATACTCGCAAATTGCTAGCTGTGGCTCACAATAAGGTGGACAATTTTGTTGTGTTTCACTTTCAACTTTCAGGCTAAAAAACTGTATCAATAGATAATATTAAGGTTATAAGTCATAAGTTGATAATATATAAACATCAAAGTAGCAAAAATCTAAATCTATAGTATCTTGTAGATATGTGGCTTGGAATATGAATGCAATCTAACAGGAGCCCCATATAGATATCAAATATCTATAGCAATTCACTATTATATATGTAGATTAAACTACTACCAACAATGTCTGCAGATAGTCAGTATAATTATGCTTATTTAGCATTAGAAGAAAAGTGTAAAGAACTTAGCTTTTATGAAGTCTTTACCAAGCACAAATAGACAAAGAATCTATGCACATCACAGTAGAACCTACAATATTAACAAGCAATAATTTAGCTAAAAATAATTTTAATAATATATATTCTTGAATAATAAAGGCATCAATTCTAATAGTGGTGATAAAAGTAGTAATAAAATAGATATCAATTCTAATAGTAGCAACAAAAGTAGTGATAAAATAGATATCAATTCTAATAGTGGTGATGAAAGTAGTAATAAAATGAATGATAGTGATGATAGTAGTAAAACAGATGAGAATCTTCATAAGTTAACTATAAATGAATTGTGCTGGTTTTACAATAACATTAAAAATCTTATTAGAAAAATGATTCTGCATTATACAAGAGCATATGCAAATTTATTAAAGACTATAAGAAACATTGTTTAATACAAAATACTCATGTCCATCTAGCTATAACTTTCTTCTTTCAAACCTGTGAGTAGAATACAAAAGGAGCAAATAATTGCTATTAGTGTGGAGATAAAAGAATTAGAGTTCAAGTAGCTTTAGTTGCCAGGTGTAAAGGAACTTTATATAAAGGGTGAAGAAAGATATGTCAAGAAAAACCAAGGAAAATTTACAAGATATTAGTATACAAGAAACTAAGAAGCCTGACTATTTTGTTATATCTGCACAGTCAAGAAAATACCAAACAAAACATTCTCATAATCTGAGTAAAGCTCTGAAGAAAAACTGACCAAATAGTGTTATATAAAGTTTTAATAGATTTTTTTTTTAAAGTTTTTTTTTTAGTTATTACCGTTACAATGCTATGGCCTTTTTAGTTACTATATAGCAAGGTAAAAAGATTACCTGGTGCAGAGACCCTACTATTGGGGTGTACACAGGGTGGAAGTGGAGTATGCTCTAACTTCTACTAGTAGGAGGCAACAGTTCGGCATTGGGTTAGTATATTAAGTTACTACTTTATTTATTATAGGTCAAGGAGGATAATCTTACCTACTAGGATTATCTTAGAGAGAGTATATCACTTTATACAAAATAAGAATAGTAAGAAAGTAAGGCTAAATACTATGAGAGGAGTAGAAAAGGCTAACTAACTCTATCTAACTCTAACTTGAGTAGAAGAGTCAAAGACTCTCTTTTTATAACTTTTTCTAGAGTTACACAATTTGATTTGATTTGATTTGATTAAAATTTGATCTCAAATCAAATTCAAATCAAGCCAAATTTGATTTAAATCAAATTCAAATCAGGTAATTATTTGATTTAATTTAACAAAATATAGTAAACAGTAAAAATTTATTATTTTTTTTAATTTTTTAAATAAACATTTTTAACTTCTAATAAAAGTTATAGATATGTGTCTTGTGATCAAAATGACAGTTAAAACATTAAAATCAGCCTAGTAGATTGCAAGATATAAGCATTTTTGTCTTCACAATTATATATTTTCTTCTTTATATAAATAAAGAAGAAATCATATAGTTGTAAAGGCTAAAATACTTATATCTTATGATTTACTAAGCCAATTTTTGCTTTTTAACCGCTATTTTGATCGCAAGACACTATTCTATAACTTTACTTAGAAGCTGAAGAGCAATTTACTAAGCAAAGTTTTAAAAATCACAATATTTTTTATAGTTTTATTAATAAAATTATAGAAAATATTAAAATCCATAAAATTGTACTATTAAAGCCACTTTTATGTTCTAAGTAAACTTGTTTTACATATAAAAATACATTATATCAATATATATTTATCTTATAATTTTAAATTTTAAGAGAAACAATACTTAATTTTGAATTTTTAATCAAAAATTTTAAAATTAAGTATCTTTCTCTTAAAATTTAAAATTATAAAGTAAACATATATTAATATAATATAATTTTATGTGTAAATTAGGTTTACTTAGAACATAAAGAGAGATTTAATTAGTAAAGATTTGAGAATCATAATAGTTTTTATAATTTTATTAATAAAATTATAAAAAATATTAAAATCCACAAAATTGTATTAAATAAACCTATCTTTATGCTCTAAGTAAACTTGTTTTATATATAAACTACATCATATCAATATATATTTATTTTATAATTTTAAAATTTAAGAAAAAAATGCTTAATTTTAGAATTTTTGATCAAAAATTCAAAATTAAGCAGTTTTTTCTTAAAATTTAAAATTATAAGATAAACATGATGTAGTTTTATATGTAAAACAGGTTTACTTAGAATATAAAGATAGCTTTAATTAGTACAATTTTGTGGATTTTAATATTTTCTATAATTTTATTAATAAAATTATAAAAACTATTGTGATTCTCAAATCTTTACTAATTAAATCTATCTTTATGTTCTAAGTAAGCCCTATTTACATATAAAATTATATTATATTAATATACTTTTACTTTATAATTTTAAATTTTAAAAGAAAGATACTTAATTTTGAAATTTTTGATCAAAAATTTAAAATTAAGTATTGTTTCTCTTAAAATTTAAAATTATAAAATAAACATATATTAATCTAAAAGAATTGCTAATCTTAACCGGGGGAAATTTCCTCCTAGTCACGTGTTCTATATAAATATTTAGTCTAGTCTATATACAGTATATATATATTATATATATATTATATTTATAACATAAATAACGCATATTACACAATATATATGATAAATACATAACAAATACACATAAATAACTACTGTAATATGCGTTACATGCATTATTACAATTTCTCTAGAGCGATAGGCAATAAAATAAAACACAGCTACTAATATATGATAAATATTGGCACGTAGTTTAGCAACACTACGTGTATTATATTAATTTTACTATCAATCTATAGAAAATTAAAGTAATACATGTAGTGTTGCTAAACTACGTGACAAATATGAATTACAGTTGACCTTCTATAAGTAAATACACATTATTGGTGAATATGACATAAACCATATTAGGCCGTTCAAATAACATAACATGCGAAAAGGAAGTGAATCACTTATAGAAGATCAACTGTATATATAAGAAAGCATAATATCTAAGAGTATAATGTAACACAATCCAGTAATATAGATTAGAACAAATTAATATGGACTAAAAGTTCGCAAATATTATAGTTACTTAAAGCCTGCCTTACCTTAACATGAAAAAACTACACTATTATCTACTCTAGCTCTAACCTTAAAAAGGATATATTATTCGATTAATAGCTTGATTAGCCATAAGCCGAATTAGTTATATTAGCTAAGTTAACAAATACATACTGCAAGCAAAATTTAGTAAAATATACAGTATATACCTACTAATTACTATTGATACAATTCCGGATTACACTATGCTCTAGCCTTAGTCTTAACGTTGGAATAGTTAGTATAAACACTTAAGAATTCAAGTTGATTTTGCTAGCTTATAAAAACACAATGAAACGCTCAATAGCAATAATAAAAGAAAATTAAAATTCATTATCTAAGCTAAGTACATATAAAACCAATTCAAACTATAAACTATGTAACTAATATCTAATTCACAAATACTAATAATCATTAAATTTCAGCTTTACAGATAGCCCGATTATGACTCTTTTCACTACATCTTTTATATCGCTTTCTATTGTCAAGTTGGATATTGGTATCTGTATTGGACAAGCGGTGACATTTTTTTGTATTCAAGTCTTGAATTTCAATATCACTTTTCGCTCTACCAGGAGGCCTTTCTCTTCTTGCGAAAATAATAGGATTGGTGATTGGAGCATTTTCAGATTGATTATCTTCATTTAATGATAATTGCTTGCTTGTAAAAAATTGCTAATATAATCTAATTAATTCATCATATAAATTACTATCAATAGCGACGTCAATGGTTTTCTTCATTAATCCATATGTGTAACCATATTTTGACCAGGTATTGTTTATATTTCAAAGAACTGGAGTATATAATTCACCTCCTCGCAATTGCTTTATATGTTCAAGGTTAAAAGTATTAGCTACAGCATAATCATTAGAAGATGATTCTACACATAATGAAATAGGATTATATTGCATCAAAAAATCCTGATCACAATCAATCTTGTTATTTCTATACCACCAGTTTAATACAAGTCCAATATGCCATTGTGCACATGGAGAAGTTCAAAGAACCTTGTAGAAATGACGACATGGATAACTATGTGTAACTAACATATTACAAGTATACCTATGTGAACCATCTGAGATTAATATTACAAATTGAAATTTTGTACTACATGAAAAGGTAAGACACCAAATCTCAAGAATTTTAGAGCTTTCAATTGTCTTCAGAATATCTGTCAGTAAAACTTGTATTAATTCATAATCATCCTCACGTGCCTTGTTATTTACATTGTCATTTGAGTGTATCTAAATAAAATAAAAAATAATAAAAGTGAAATGAGAGAGAGAAATATATATCCAGTATGTAAATAAGCTATAAAAATAGACTAATAAAAAGTGCCCAACGGCATCTTGTCGATTAAATAGTATACTTTTTTAATTGAGTTCCAATTAGCACAATCAAGCTTATAAGCGTCATAAAAAAAACATTCTTGTATTTGTTTACGAATGCATATTAACACTGGTTCTGTTAAGTATTTATCTACAATAGTATTCAAAGTATTAAAGAAAGTTTTTAATATAGTCGCAACTCCAACCATTGGTATTTGCCGTTTATACTCTTTAGCTCGTGTATATTCAGATTCTTTGATACCATATCATGCACTAACAAATATAACATGGTTGCATGCTTCTTCGTAGCCATTGATAACTGTAACCGTACTCGTCTAGTTGCTACAGCTTTATTAGAGAATGAGACTGAAGAGAGTTTTACTTAGGCCCTTCAAATGATTAATGAATGTACTAGTAATTTGGCATCATAAGTAATTTATACGGATTCTAATCCGGCAATGTCAAATGCAATTTTAACTGTATTTTCAGAATCTTTACATTGTTTATGTTTGTTTATATTAATTTTAATTTAAAGAAAAATCTAAGAAACAAAATGAACACAGCTCAATTTAATGAATTTCTTAAGGATTTT